ATTTCAGAGGCTCCTGGGGCATATGGCATCCGCGGCCGCGGCAACGCCGCTCGGTTTGCTTCATATGAGACCGCTTCAGCTGTGGCTTCGCGATCGAGTCCCGAGGTGGGCATGGCATCGCGGCTCGCTCCGAGTTCCAGTGACTCCAGCGTGCCGCCGAACCTTCTTCCCGTGGTCGAACCTCAGCTTCTTACGGACCGGCGTCCCTATTCAGCGAGTTTCCAGGCATCTCGTTGTCTCCACGGATGCATCTACCATGGGTTGGGGTGCCATGTGCAATGGGCATGCAGCCGCCGGTTCCTGGACAGGAGCCCAGCGCCTCATGCACATCAATTGCCTCGAGCTGTTGGCAGTACGGCTCGCCCTACACCGCTTCCAACGTTGCTCAAGGGCCAGCATGTGCTTGTCCGCTCAGACAACACTACGGCAGTAGCGTACATCAACCACCAGGGGGGTCTACGCTCACGCCAGTTGTCGCAGCTCGCCCGCCACCTCTTGATATGGAGTCAGAAGCACCTGAGGTCCCTTCGTGCAGTTTACATTCCTGGAGACCGGAACTGGGCAGCCGACGAGCTGTCCCGGGTCCGCCCCATCTCCGGCGAATGGCGACTCCATCCCCAGTCGGTCCAGCTGATTTGGGACGAGTTCGGGGAGGCACAGGTAGACCTGTTCGCCTCTCGGGACTCGTCCCACTGCGCCCAGTTTTATTCTCTGACCCGCGGCACTCTCGGCTCGGATGCGCTGGCGCACAGCTGGCCACGGGGCCCACGCAAGTATGCGTTTCCCCAGTGAGCCTCCTTGCACGGGTGTTGTGCAAGATCAAGGAGGACGAGGAGCAGGTCTTGCTGGTGCCCCCTACTGGCCCACCAAGACGTGGTTCTCCGATCTCTTGCTCCTCGCGACAGCACCTCCTTGGCCTATTCCTCTGAGACAAGACCCACTCTCTCAGAGACGGGGCACTCTGTGGCACCCTCGTCCCGATCTTTGGAGGCTGCACGTGTGGCTCCTGGACGGCACGAGGCAGGTTTGAGTTCGCTGCCACCTGCGGTGGCGGCAACCATCACTTCCGCAAGAGCGTCGTCCACGAGACACCTTTATGCGTTGAAGTGGAACCTCTTCGTCAATTGGTGCTCTTCTCGCGGAGAAGACCCCCGGAGATGTTCGATCAGTGTCGTGCTTTCCTGCCTGCAAGAAGGGTTGGAGCGCAGGCTGTCGCCCTCCACCCTTAAGGTTTACGTCGCGGCCATTGCCGCTTCTCATGAAGCAGTGGAAGGTAAGTCCTTAGGGAAGCACGACCTGGTCATCAGGTTCCTGAGGGGAGCGAGGAGGCTGCATCCGCCTCGTCCTCCCCTCGTACCCTCTTGGGACCTCTCGGTAGTTTTAAGTGCTCTGCAGAGGCATCCCGTTGAGCCTTTGCAATCGGTAGAGTTAAAGTTTCTGTCCATGAAGACAGCACTCCTGGTTGCATTGGCCTCCATCAAGAGGGTGGGGGACCTGCACGCATTCTCCGTTGACGAAGCGTGCCTGGAGTTCGGGCCGGCTTACTCTCACGTGATCCTGAGACCCCGGCCTGGATATGTGCCCAAGGTTCCCACCACTCCCTTCCGGGACCAGGTGGTGAACCTGCAAGCGCTGCCCCCGGAGGAGGCAGACCCAGCCTTGGCACTGCTCTGTCCGGTACGTGCTCTCCGCACCTATGTCGACAGAACGCAGTGTTTCAGGACCTCAGACCAGCTCTTTGTCTGTCATGGAGGGAGCCAGAAGGGAAGGGCTCTCTCAAAGCAACGGCTGTCCCACTGGATTGTGGATGCCATTGCTTTGTCTTACCAGCAGCAAGGCCTTCCGTGCCCCCTTGGTGTGACGGCCCATTCCACTCGGAGTGTGGCCTCCTCTTGGGCTTTAGCGCACGGCGCCTCGCTAACAGACATCTGCAGAGCTGCAGGCTGGGCGACACCCAACACCTTCGCCAGATTCTATAATCTGCGAATTGAGCCGGTATCCTCTCACGTACTCGTTTCGGCCAGTTCTGGATCCGCTCAGGTGTCTTCGCTTGCTCGCCACTCCACTCCCCGGACTGGATAAGTGCGATATTTCCTCAGTTCTTCCATTGAAGCCTTGAGTCCTCCAGCACCGACGATGCGGGCACCACTGCTGTGGCTCTGGATGCTGGCTAGGTGCCTCCATGCGTACGGTTCCCCCTTGGTAACCGTCTCATGTGTATTATCCACTGTAAGCCTCTCTGAGCATGTGTCTTCCCTTGGCAAGCCATCTGCCACCCCTGGAGCTGAAATTAGTAGCCACCTGCGGTTGGTGCTCCAGTGATTCCATATGTGTTCCTATGTGGCCATATGTGTATTCGTAAGTCCTCCCTTCGGTAGGCAGCTGGTAGCATGTCCCCTTCGGGATATGTTTCCCAGTGTACCTTGGTAATCCTGTGTCTAAGTCGGATCCCCTAAGGAAAACAGGTAAGGCTCGGGGGTTCAGACTTTCGCAGGGCACTGGAAGACAGCCTGAAGTTGGCGTGATGGCACAGACCCCCAATCTCCGTCACTTCTGACGTAACTCGAAGTGACTACGAAAGGGAACGTCTCGGTTACGTATGTAACCCTCGTTCCCTGAGTAGGGAACGGAGACGTTACGTCTCCCTGCCACTTCTGCTGTATCGCTGGGTAGATGCCGAGTTCAGTCTTGGCTCCTCAGCGAAGACATACTGCGGTTGCGTTCACTTCCTCCTTTTATACTCACGGAGTAGGGCGGAGTACGCTATGCAAATTTCCGCAGCCCCAAGGCATTGCATGCCATTGGCTCGTGTTTAAATACTCGAAGAGGATTGGCTTTCTATGCGAAACCCCCAATCTCCGTCACTTCTGACGTAACGTCTCCGTTCCCTACTCAGGGAACGAGGGTTACATACGTAACCGAGACGATTTCTTTTACCTTATTTCTAATAAAAAAAAAATTCTGGAATAATAACTTGAAGGTCTTCAAAACTAACCCCTTCAAAATAAAAGTTTGGTTTAATTTTCAGAAATGTTCAGAAATATATTACTATTGCACAGTAGAATGTACTTCTTATTTGTACTAATTATATTTTTTCCTCCATGTTTTAATTTTAACAGTAGCCTAAACATTTTATCCAGCACTGGTTGTTATGTTATGAAAAGGAATTGTTCAAATTTAATTTTAATACATTTTAGAAGACTTTAACCTAGTTGTTAAAGTTTTATGTTTTTATTTGATAAATCCAGAAAAAATTATTATTTAAAACATTTTAATAAATTATTGAGTTTTTAAAGTTATGAATTCAATTCACAAGGCATGCCTTTTGATTATTTAAGTTGAATTAAACCATCAAAAAACAATCTAGAAAAAAATAGGGGGAAATAATTTAGGGGGCAAAACATATTTCATAAGGAATGTCTTTAGAATACATTTTATTTAAAGGTGCTAAATGTAACTTTTCTTCTAAAATTAATCCTTTTTATTGCTTTTTTAGTGTGTGTGTGTGTGAAGGGGTAGTAATCACAGATTACAATGATCCACTTGTCAGGTCTTGCTATTACCTCTGAAGGCCAGTATTCTTATTTCTATGTGAAGTCTCTGGGTCGGATTTTCTGCGAAATCCTTTGGATGTGACGAGCATGCCCGCTCCTGAGCCTGTACAATCTATGCAACGCACTGCAGCTAAAGACATGGAGTCTGATAACACCAAAAACGACCTGCCTCCAGCACAACACACACTCCAACACAAACTCCACATAAATATAAAAAAAGAACCAAAACAAAAATGTATCTGCTGAAGCTCATCAGGCCAAATGTAAATCAGAATTCAGATTTGCCAAAATAATGGTAAACTGTAATGAAATGGTAAAGTACAACATATGAGACATGAAATTAATACAAAAGACTGTTCCAGGATAACAAAAAGTATGTGCTTTAGGATATAACTTTTATTTTATGTACTAGATCTACTGTATAACGTCACTCATCCACTACTATCATATTGTTTATAATACACATTTCCAGACACGTTCAGTACAGTAATGTTACTTCCAACGATCTTACTGTTACACTGAAATTGTTCAGTCTAGTTCACTAACCGTTTTCGTTATAATATTATACATTCATCTATGTTGACATTGCTGATTGTGAAAGATACATGAATAGTTAGTGAAATGCCTTATGCTAGATAACACCACAAATGTAAAGTTATCATTGCACGAGCATGGAGCATTAGTTCAGACAAGCTGATAAAAGTAGCCTACTATTGGAAAGTAGCAGTGGGAGTTTACATGAGTTTCCAGCATGTTGTGTAATGCTTTCTCCGGTGTGTTGAAAGTCTCAGTGTGGCCGTGTACCATGAGTGCTCGCTCTTGTGTTCGAGCACACGCAAGAGCACGAGCGCTCTTGTAAAAATTGGTTGCAATCTAAAACATCACCATTAGAGGCCGTTAAAAATACAAGAAGAGTTCAGATGCAAAAGCCTCTAAATGCCATTTGAAATTTTCCTCTTTAAAGATGATTTTTATCAAACTTGTATATTTAAGTTCAGTAATTTCACTTAAATAACAATTAATAGGTAATTATCATTGCCATTTAAGTGAAATTACTGAACCTAAATATACAAGCTTGATAAAAATTATCATTCTAGAAGAAAATTTCAAATGGCATTTAGAGGCTTTTGCATCTGAACTCTTCACATATAGAACCTTTAACCATCTTGACAAAATGCTAATAATCTTCAAACAGACGTGTGTTAAAAGGGTCATGACATATTATTAGGCAGCCAGATGCAAATGTCTACCACAGTGTGGAAGAATAATGTGAGGAAAGTATAAAATAAGTTATTTTAGCAGCTTAGTTTCTCTTGGAAATGAGGAGGAATTTTCGAGGTCCGAAACCTACAGTATTTTTTAAAGCATAATGACTACTTGTATGTCAAAAGATTAAAGAAAATGTAATTCATCATACCCCTTAAGTCATACAAATAACAGACATACCGTAAAATCCTGTCTGTTTTGGTGGAGAAAATCTGCAGAAATTCTCCCCCAGGTCAGAGCGAAGACAACTAGGCTTTTCGAGACTCTCCTCATCCTCACTCACAAGGTTTCGGGCATGTGGATATAGAACAGGGGAATTGAGGCAGTTTTGAATGTTGATGCCTGAGAAATCTTCACTCAGATCTTCTATGTGGTCTCTACAGTCTCTCTGAAGGTGTCTTCCCGAACTTTGAGGCAAGTAGAGACTGGGCAGGCCAGCAGGACTCGCTGTGTGTTGTGAATCACTTATGGAGGGTTTGGTGAAGGGACTAACCCTTAAGACTTTAGGAGTAAGCCCACAATAACTGTCTAGGTAATCCAGCCTGCTTCCATTGCAGACACACATCTCAGGGCCGAATCTCCCAATTTTTCCTGCCTCATTAGAGTTGTGTGACTGACACTGCTGGCATGTTGGCCAGGCCAGGTTGAGGGAAGACGAGGTCATAGACTCATCCGTCTCTACAGGCATACTACGATGTGGACAGTGACCTGTGAAAACAAAACAATTGGACAAATGGAGAAAAAAAGAGAGAGGTTTGTGTATGTTGCATGAAAGAAGTAAGCAATAATGTTCTCTATTCCTCTGGTTAATAAAGAATAAGCAATGTTTGGTACTGGTATGGGCCAGTATACATTCTATCCAGTGTAAAATATAGCATAAATATATTCAAAATCAGTTGAAAAACACTACATGGGTATAGGTTTGATTTATAGGTTACTACTTTGATTATAGGTATAAATAGGTTTGATTTATATATAGGTTTGATTATAGGTTTCTTTTCATAAAGAACATTAAGCCTCTATAGCTAAAGGTTTTTTTTGGCACTGATTTTACACAAGGATTAAGATTCAAGAATATTTTGCCACAAAATTCTCAAAAAAACAAACAAACAAAAAAAACATTGTGTTTCATTGTTTTATTTTGAATGTTTAACATTTGTTTGTAGCTCCGATTATACTCAACAAACAAAACATTGTAAAACAAATTTTCCTGTAGGTTTTCTTTTATCTGAAACTTTTGATTATTTTGGGGTGATATATGATGCTATGTTCTGGAATTCTTGGTGATGTGATGCAGTGTAATAGCTGCAGGCCTGGTGATGACGTGGTACAGTATGCTGCTGCAGTGAATAGTGTAAAAGCTTTACAAAACAGATTTACCTTACCTTGAAAAGATTCCATTGCTTTTCTCGTATTCTTGAATTCAGACTGTGCTTTCTGATGGGGTAAATAAAACAAAACCACACAACACTGTTCAGAAAATTAGAGATGAATCAATAGAAGGCATTTTAAGTTAAAAAGTAGCCTTAGCCTAGTTCGTGAGGCCTCCTGTGAGTCCAAAGTTGAAAACTGTGACCTCTCTTTATGAAACAATCAATCGTCAAAGCACATACAATACTCTAAAATTCAATGCAACTTTTTATTTTAAATAGATCAAAAGTTTTATGATCAAACATAGGGAATAGACTCGTTTAATTTGTCTGTTTCTTACCTGTTCAGATCCTATACGTGTCTCTTCCTGGACAGCGTCACACCTGCTTTCGGTTCGTTCAGGAAACGTGCACCTATATGCAAATTAGGGGAATTCTACATTCTCTTTATGCAAATATTAGTGCAGCGAAACGTCTGAGCCATCCAATCAACAACGCGACGATCTAAGGACGATCTGACGATCACATTTCACCAGAGACATATATTTCACCATTGTGCAATATATTATGAGCCAACAACTCATAAAATATTGAATAGAATGGTCAAATGGCTGCGAGAGAGAGAGAGAAAGAAAGAGAGAGAGAGAGAGAGAGAGAGAGAGAGAGAGATTACAAATTGTAGGTTGTAATATTACAGCTTAACAAACTCATCTGTCAGTACAATATACTTCATATAAAAATTGAATTTTTAATAATTAAAAATAAACCAACTCATTTTTGAATTTGACGAACAAAAAGAAGATGATACACTCAGACATTTAGAAAAAACGCATAGGCCTACCTGAACACAGCTCGCAAGAAGAGGTGACAAATACGAGCCAGAACACATTTCTTGAAATAATAATTTTTAAACATTGACTCTTTAAAAAAAAAAAAAAAAGTTTTTATTTACACCTTTCTCGTGGTTTCTCAATAAAATTCTCACAAGTAGGCTAATAAACGTGAATTGTTGTTGCCTACGTCATGTAACAGCATTTTAATAGCGGGCAGCAGCCAATAGGCTAACGCACTGCCTCACCTTTGAAACTGGGATTTAAATATGGCTAGTCTTCTGGTAAGAGGTAGGCCTATCTAAACTGCTAAAATAACAGATTGAATAAACTATTTTTAAATAAATGTTCAGCGATATCTTTCAAAGATTTTGTTTTTTGGAAGTTTTTTTTCTCTATATAGCCTAGTATTGATATGGCTAGAAAATACACATCATGCCTGCATGGGTGGAAATGTTTTTTTTAACCTTCATTCTTTCCTAGGGGTAATTTTGAAAGTAAAAAAAAAATATTGTTCATCGCAATGCCTATATTGCTTTGGTCTCACTTGAACCACGAATAGGCCTACTTTTTTCCCCCACAAGAGGTCGACGGAGACTGCCAAATGTTAGTTATTTTGAATTTAATTTGTAAGAATGTGAATAATGTGCTTAAATTATATTAATTATCAATAAAATATTGTAATTTAAAGGTAATTAAAAATCTCAAGAAAAAATTGCATTCAAAAATAGAAGAAATATTATAAAAATGAAATGATATAATCTTTGCCTGGCCTGTGGCCCCCCTTTTGTAGATTAATGTATTTTCAAGCCCCCTAACAACATGCACCCACATGAAGACTTGCTGGCAAAATCCTATATGATTTATATGAAATGTAATTAAAATGGGCTAAAAGCATAATTGCTTTTCACTACTCCCATAGAAGCTTTTCTTTTTTGAAGATTAATGTAGATAATGATCAACAGATTTTGGGCCAAATTTACTAAACAGGGCAAATTAGCGTGAGAGCAAAGAACCAACAAAGTGCAGCGTATAGACAGATTCCCAGAGGAATTTTATAAGGAATTTGTAAATGAATTGGCTCCTAATCTATGTTTAACTATGTCCCACATAATGAAGACTCCCCTCATGGTCTGACACAATTATTACTGTAACGCAATGTATGGCTTATAGACCAATAAGCTTGTCAGGATATGAAAATTTTAACTTCAATTCTAGCAAACAAAATCGTAGCATATTAAAAATTGGGTTAAACCACATCAGACTGGATTTATTAATGGAAGATATGGAACAACTGGTAACACTTTACAATTAGGTTCATTAGTTAACATTAGTTACGTTAACTAACATGAACTAAAAAATATCAATACATTTGCTAGAATATTAGTTAATATTTGTTCATTTTAGTTAATAAATATCCAGCTGTATATTGTTTATTCATGTTAGTTTACAGTGCAATAATGTTAATGAATACAACATCTGATTTTAATAATGTATTAGTAAATGTTGCAAATAATATTAAAGGGATACTTCAGGATTTAGCATTAAGCTTTGTATCAGTCGAAAACTAGTAATTTCGAATTACCGTGCTTCCCCCCATCATATCCCCCTGATATGAGAGAAAAATGAATGTTTAGTCTGGAAAAAAATCCTTAGATGACGCAAAAATCATCATTTTGCGTCATCGTCATTTTGCGTCATCGGAGGATTTTTGGCCGAGAGGCTAAAGACTACAGCCAGTGTTCCGCATGTTTTCACCACGCCCGTATGGGGCGGGATCTCACTCACAGAATGTAAACATTGTGTCAGCCATCTTTCTGTAGAAGCTAAGCTAATGGGCACTTGCCTCTTGGTCTGTGTAGAAAGTTTGTATAGTAGATCATCACGATGGTGGAAGGTAGTTTTGAAGTTGAAATGGTAGAAGGGGATTTTCGAAGATCTGTTGCGAGAATCGCGGCTACCTTTACGAGCCAGTTGCGGGAGATGGAGGAACAAAAGGCAGCCAGAGCGAGACTTGAGCCCAGCCAGACTCGAGCTGGGGCGGACTGGCGGTGTGAGTGCTTTCGCTGTGTGCCTCTGGAAACAGATCCTACAGTCCTATTGCTGTCGCGAATCTCAGTGATGCCATTTTCTTCTGGTGAGATCGCTGAATCCACAGAGCTTTGCGTGTAAAAGTGTAAATATTAATTATTTTTTTAAATAAAAGTTACAACTCACATTGGTTTTGGTTCTTTTTATAAACCTTTAGTGTTAGTTGAGTATGGATTAGCCTAGATAATGTATTAGCTTATAGAAATAGTGATTTCAGTTGAAGGAAAACAGTTCATAAGCAGAGCTACTAAGCTACTCTGTTAACATGGTCCTGCCTTGCATCATATTTTTAATGTGAAAGTCTAAGTCATGTTATATACAGTACATTAGGCTAGTAAATCCCACAATGTAATTTAGCACCATTTCAATGAATATTTATCAATGAATATTTATCGATGAATACTTGTCAAAGCAAGCCTAGTTGTATCCATTTTCTGCCGCCTGTAACCGGTAGGCGTGGTTTGGGAGTGGCCTCGTAAGGGCAGCAAAGCAAGTGCATTCTGGGAGTTGTCGTCTTTCAGCCAGAATATGTCTTTCAGAAATATATTTCTGCCTTTTCTCAGTCTAGAATGCTTCAATTTCAAAAATAATTTCCCATTTCTACCATGTAAATTACCAATTAAACACACATTCATCTTCCCAGAGGTGAAGTGACTAAGATTAAATGTGTTCATTCTTAGTTCATGTTTACTAAGTTAACTAATGTACCATTTTGTAAAGTGCAACCGAATAAATAATATGAGCTTTAAACTGCCAACAGATTGGTAAAGACCGTAAAACACCCACAATGCTTCTCAGTTTAGATGCTAGTCAGGCTTTCAGATACTTGGGTCCTTACACTCATAACATCACGTTTATACATGGCCAAACTTGGTTGAACCTGCTGGAGCCGTAGGGGTTGGAGGGACGGAGCGCAGCAGATGGCCGAAAGTCCGTGGCGGAAGTGGTTTGACAACTGACCAAGGGGGAGCCGGTGAGACGAGGATCTCCGGAGGAGCCGAAGGTGGGAGGAGCCAAGAGGGAGCCGACAGTCCGAGATTGAGCGAAGGGACCTGAGGCCGGAGGTGGAGCCGAAGGATCCCCCTGGACAGGCGACACTGGTGGTTGTTCGACGTCATTGCAGGGACTCCTCAGAGGTGGTGCAGGGCTGCAAGCATCCGGCAAAGCTCTGTGGTGCTGTGGCTGTGCTCTGTGATGCTGCCGATGAAACAAGACTAGAGCACAAAGGTAATCATGACAGTTCCCACAGGATTTCAAAAAAGTTCTCAGAGTTCCCCTTGGATAATACAGATGTATTAGATATCGGGTGGCAGTTGACAAGTCTCCATCAAAGTCTATCAACCAGTCCTCTGTTTCGGTTCCCTCAGCTCACACCCCTGGTCAGATCCACACTGGAGCACTTCTTCCGGGGCGATGGCAAGCTCTGAGCGTTGGTCTGCAGGGGGCTCATGTGACTTCTCTGTGTCGATGGTGGTGGCTGTGCTCTGAATCGGGGTGCGATGCTCTCCAGACACCTTACGACGGCTACCCTCCAACTCAGACCGGCTGTGTTTAGAAGGTCGAAGGTGTTGTGGAAGTTTGCTCTGATCCAGAAAAGGTTATTTAGGGTCTTGTCATCCAGGGAGCTGGTGACGGCCAGACAAAAAAGAAAAAAAAAAAGAAATTAGAAAATGATAAATCCAGGATGATAAACTTTGCCCGTTCATACATACTGGCCGGTCCAATCATCCTTTACACTCGTGTTCAGGTAAAAAGACGAAGACAGATGGATCAAGATAAAGATAGATCAAGATTCAAAGTTTATTAATTCCTTAAGCAGGCAGACAGGTGATTAAAAAAAAAAAACACAACTGTGATCAGACAAAGAATGAATGTGAGGGACCAACTTAAAGCAAACACAAATGAGGATGATAAATAGGACAGTGCTGAACCAAATTAACTTATAATGACGGTGACCACCATGGTAACAAAGGAGTGGTGGGAAAACTGAACAAAGGGAAACAAACTGTAATAGTGACAGATACAGCATACTGTCAAAATGTGTTCATAAAAGTTTAGGAGTAATAGCCCCATCCTGTGCAATACCATTAAATGTCACCCAGATTTTCTCCCTTCTATATCGGACAGCGTCTTTGGTAGATGGGAAGAGAATGGTTTAAGATAGTTTATCAGATTTTTGATGGGAGACCAGATCTTTTTCTCAATTATGTGATAGATTTATATTGAGATCTAATGATTTCTTTAGATATTTATTAATTATGACTTTATATTATACATTATACATGTTGGTACATAATTAAAATAACTCCAACAATTGTTAAAAAATATTTTATTAATATTATTGAACATGGTCTACAGTTAAATATTGAAATAGATGTGGATTAATATATGTATGCGGGTTGACATAAGATTATTATCAGATTATAAAATTTGTAGATTATAAGATTATTATTTTTAACTTTAGCTGGACAACAACTTTACAATAACAATATGTTACTTTAATTTCCTGTTATCACT